CTCCCTCTGAGCTCCAGGCCACATCTCCAGGGTGTGACTCTGAGACAGCTCCTGGCTCTCCTGCAGACACCTCGTTCATGCCTTTAGCACACATTCACTGGGTGCCTGTCATGTCCCAAATGCTGGCAACACTGGGACTGGACAACACAGTTCCCTCCCTCTTGGCACCCACATCAGCCTGCCTCGATGAATGGCAATGCCATTCAGCCAAGCTTTTTTTTTTTTTTTTTTAAGCTGAGCCATCCTGCTACCTGTTGGCAGCTCAGTGGCTGCTCAGCTCGGGCTGGACTCGAACCGCTGTTGCTCAGAGCTCAAACTCTTGAGCGAGCTCTTAACCAACTGAGCCATCAGCCAAGCTTTTGATGACAGGAAGCCACTTTTGCCTCTCCCAACTCTCCCTTCTCCATAGGCAATCAGGGAACAATATTTTTGGAATAGTCCAGAGCAGTTGCCTTGCAGAATGTTCCAGAATCTGGATTTGCCTGATTCCTTCCGCATTAGATTCAGCTTAAGCATTTTTTGTTTGTTTTTAAAGATTTTTATTGGGGAATTGGGGGGATGGGAACAGTGCTGGGGAATTGGGGGAAGGGGAACAGACAAGTTGCTGTCGTTTTGTTCTTCAGTCTAGTTGTGGAGGACGTGGCTTCACTGGCCCAAGTTGGCACCATCATTGCGCTCTTCCCAGGCGAGGCAGATCAGTTGCCGGCTTCTGGACTGCCGCTCACTGCGGCTGCTAGCTGCTCATGCTGGCTGCTGACTACACACGGTAGCCCATGGCAACCCATTGCCACAGGGGCTTCAGCCTATGCTGTCGCTGGCGACACGGCAGCCCAGCTCCAGTTTGAGCTGTTGTTCAGCATCTTAGCTGTCGAGGGCAGTGTCACTGGCCCTCATATGTGGGATCCGAACCGAGGCCCTCTGGCGTCCCAAGCCGGTTCTTAACCATCGCACCACTCGGCCGGCCCAGTTTAAGCGTTTTTGACTGGAGCACCACCAAGGGCAGGCTGTGTCTTTCCCTCTCCCCCTGCACCCCCCCCCAACATCAGGAGGCACTGGGGTCAGGCTGTCCCGCTGTTGGGAAGGCTTGGTTGGTTTGATCACGTGGTCAAGATAGAGGCTGCCTTGACCACGTGATCACATCCTAAGAGTAAGGCACTCCAGACTCATCTTTTTATTTCCTGTCCCAGCCCTGGAATCAGCCATTTCTTCAAGGAGCTCTGGTTCCTTTTAGTGGAGAATGGTATTGAGGGACCAAGGTCTGGGTGCAGGCTGTGTTCATTGCTACTGGGGTGTCATTGCTTCTAGACTCTTTCAGTGGACAAAACTAGGAAATTATATATATATATATATATATATATATATGTATTTTATTGGGGAATTGGGGCAGGGGAACAGCGTTGGGGAAATCGGGGAAGGGGAACAGACAAGTTGCTGTCCTTTTGTTCTTCAGTCTAGTTGTGGAGGACATTGCTTCATTGGCCCATGTTGGTATTATCATTGCGCTCTTCCATGGTGAGGCAGATGGGTCGCCGGTCACTGGACCGCTGCTCACAGTGGCTCTTGGCAGCTCACATCAGCCGCTGGCTGCTCACGGTAGCTTACGGGAGCCCACTGCAGCTCCATTGCAGCCTATGCGGTCGCCGGCAACTCACAGCAGCCCAGCTCCAGGTCGAGCTGTTGTTCACCATCTTAACTGTAGAGGGCAGTGTCACTGGCCCTCATGTGGGATCCGAACCAGGGCCCTGCTGCTCAGAGTTGGCATCCCAAGCCAACTCCTAACCAACACACCACTCGGCCGGCCCAGGAAATATATTTTTAAGAGTTCATACTGCAATCCTCAATTTCAATCCATCATCACAGTTCTTTGTCACCTTCCCTTATTCCACAGTGAGAATTCTCATTCCCGACAGCATAGATATATTTACTCATTTGCTCTACCAGATAGAGTCTGTCTTAAAGTACACCCAAAATAGCTTCACAGTCACCTCGTCGCTACTGTTGCCAACAACAAACAACTTAAGAGTAAGGCCAGTGCCTTTTGTCCTTAGAATACATCCCTGAAGGGAGTACAGTCAGACTGTAGAGTTTAAAAGGCAACTGAATTATTTTCTCTGTGTGGTTTTGTTATAAATTGGATATGCAGTTAGTCTCATTTGTTTTTGTTTTTATTAAATTTTAGCATTTGATCTTTTTCACTCTTTCAAATGTAATTTTGGACACGTAAAATATTACATGGTTTAAGGTCAAAACTACACAAAATGCCATTCCCATGTCAACCTCCTACAGGTGACCATTTTCATTAGTTTGGGGTTTCTCCTTCTTGTGTCTTTTTCCCAATAAGTATGTGTGTCTGAGAGTGTGTGTGTGTCCTTTGCACTCTGCTTTTTTTCACATAACAATGTATCCTGCAAATCACTTAATTTTTCTTATTAGAGATTTTCATTCTTTTTTTTTTTTACTACTGCTTAGGACTATTGTATGAAGGCGCCATAGTTTATTTCACCAGTTCCCTGCTGGTGGACATATACGTTGTGTCCAATAACTTTCTATTACCAATTATGTTACAATGAGTAACTTTGTGCATATAATATTTCATATTTGTGAAGTAACTTCCTACCTGCAGATTGCTGGGTCCATGACAGTGATAGAGTTTTGTACTTAGAAATACTGTTTTATTCAACAAGCAACAAACTACCTATTGCATAAACTGCACTGAACAAAAAAAAACAAAGGTACCAGAGATGGTATATAGAAGTGAACAAAATAAGGTTATAATTTCAGATTATTAGAAATGCTATGCAGCAAATTAAAGTGGGCAAATGTGATGAAGCATGCCAGGGGATAGTATGTTAGACTGGTGATCCAGAAGTCCCCTCAGAGGTGACATTGGAGCCAAGATCCTAATGACAAGAAACAGCCAGTATGAGAAAGTTTTGGGACAGTCTTCCAAATAGAAGAGTAAGTGTAAAGAGCTGGGGGTGGGTCACCCCTGGTCAGGAGGAGAGAAAACCCCCAAAGGTTGCAGAGAATGAGGAAGCAGGCAGGTGAGGGTCAAGTGTGGAGGAACTGGGAGCTTTGGAGGAAGTGTGGAGGTCACCCAGGGCTTTTATACCTGTGGATCCTAAGAAGATACCTACTAAGAAGGGCTCCTAGTGGATAACTGGGTTCAAAAAAAGGAAGAAAAACAAAACAAACACACAGAGCCTAGCAGCTGTTTCTAAACAGGGGCCTTTCATGTAAGCCCTGCTTCAGGGAGAAGCATTTACTGAACTGCCTGCCTGTACCGTTTTCCTGCCATTTGAGCCAGCCCTTATAAAGTAGTTCCTGGAATCCTATTTCAACAAATAAGACTGAGACTTTCCCCATCCAATCAGAACTGTGCAAATACACCCTCATCAGCATCTTCATCCACCAATCAGAGCAGCTTCATTCTGACCAATCAGGACAGTGCTTTTCGGACCAATCAAACTGTGAGGACTTGAAGTGTCATTTGCATGAGGATGGACCAATCAGGGACCAGGGGCAGGACTTACTTCTGTCTTGGAGAGTGTACTTTCCCTTTACACCAAAGACTCAAGGGTGTGTTTCCCAGGCTGGAGCTGAAACACTGAAGAAAAAATACCAGTGGACCAGAGCAGAGAAGAGCCAAGTGGAACAGAACAAGGCAGAGTGGAGCATACTGGAGTGGGGCAAAGCAGAGCTGTCTAGCCAGAGAGGGTCCTCACTCCAGGGCCACCTCACCCCAGAGCCACCTCACAGCCGTGCTGTTCCACAGCCCTGTTGTCTCATAATTGACCTGTAACACTATTGAACATTCTCACAGCCGGGCTGTGACACAATTAAGCTTTTTTGCACTGAATAAATTGTTCTTCTTCACTGCACCCCAAACTGGGGATTCCTGATGATGTTGAATTGGCACCAACAACCATGAGTTGAAATAAGCTACAGCAAAGAGTTTAGATTTGATTCCAAGGGCAATGGTAAATCGTTTTAGGATTTTAGGCAGGGATGTGATATGATGTGATTTATGTTAAAAATTAAGACGTGATTCTTCTGTGTGGAGACAGGCTCTAGCGGAGCAAGTGTAGAATAAGACCAGACAGAAAGCTGTTCAGGGAGAGATGGTGGCTCCCACTAGAGACTAGCAATGGAGAGGTAGAAAAAGTGGACTGATGAGGGTCTGTTTTGAGGGGAGATCCAACAAGGTTTGATGATATAGCTCAGCTTTATGTCCTTCCTTATGATTATAAAAGAGGGAAATAGAAAACTAACATTGACAATCACTGTCAGAAATGTCATGTCACTTTAAAAACTTATTTTTGATTAAAAATGTCATATAAGATCACTGTCAAAAATCTGTGGGCAAACACAAAAAGGAAGTTATAACCCACAGTGCCATTACACAGAGGTAACAAGTAGTGTTTACATTTTGGTGTATTGTTCTAAGTTTCAGTGCATGTACGCAGTAATTTACTAAATTAGGATTTTAGTGATTTTAGTTTTGCATTCTGAGTTTTCACATATGACATTAGCCCTGTTCCCACTGCCACTACTTTATCTCAGGTCCCTATTGTTTCCCTCCTTGCCTCTGTTTTGGTCTCCCTGCTGTCAGGCTTGACCTTCACACCACCCACTTAGTTTCTAAAATGCAGATATGATTGGGTCGTCGCCCCCTTTAAAGTCCCCTTTGGTTTCCCCATCTACAATACATGGGCTATGAGGATGGGATGCAGAGCAGTATCCCTTGTGTTATCGGACCTCACCTCCCTCAAATCACTGGAAGTACGTTGAGCCACACATCTCTTGGGGACGGACATTGGGCCCAAGGAAGAGAGACAAGGCGGGAAAGCAGTCACATGTCTGGTGCACTACACGAGGCTGGTGGAGGGAGGGCTAAGGCAGGGAGGGCTTAGGCGGGCACACTGGGAGTCACATGTTGCTCTTACGGGCGGAGCTTCATGAGGGAGTGCTCATTGGCTAGGCCACGGTTGCGGGGCAGGTTGGCGGGAACTCACCACACACCCGGAGGCCTTACTAGGGTCTGGTTGCTGCAGGCCTCCTAGGCGGAGTCAGTGCGAAGGGGCAGAGCTTCCTCAGGAAGGAGTCGCAGTTCCTCAGCCTCCCGCGGAGAGCGCAGTCGGTCGGTTAGACCGGCTCTCCGAGGGCGGGGTGGGAGGCGGAGCGCCACGGCCATGCAGCAGGCAGCGCGCGCGGGCTGCACCGGAGCTGAAGGCCAGGCCGGCCAGGGCGGCCCCAGCGGTGCGGCCACGGTGGCCCCGGCATCTGGCGGAGCTGCTCGTGTCACGCGAGCACAGCATGCCCCAGGGCCGAGCGAAAATGCAGGGTCCACGGCCAGAAGGCCGGGAAACCGACCACATATATTATATCCTACCCGAAGGGACAGCGGGGAATACGCTGGGGGCTTTCTGCGGGGAGGGGGCGTTGGGTGCAGAGGGATGGACGGGTCGGGGGTGGAAAGGGGAACAGAAGGAACCAGGGTAAGCATGGGGGTATACAGGCCAGGAGGAGTCTGGAGGGGGAGAAGAAATGAGAGCAGGTGGGTAACGGGGTGGCTGGGGGCGGGGATTAGTGCCAGGGGTGGTCTGGGAGGGGTGGAAGCAGTCCTAAGGCAGTGAGACTAGTCAAAGTGGCCAGAGAAGGAACCTGAGGCACAAAGTCTGTGTGGATGGTTCCTTGACCGAATCTGCAGCGCCCTCAGTGTGCCTTTCCCGTCCCCTTTGGAGGCTGACATCGCCTGTGGGTCTCTGGCCCCAGATGCGGAACCCCATCCAGGGGCGGTGCGGAAGGAGCTCACAGTGAGCGGCAGCGTCCTAGCGGTGTAAGATCTAGAAAGGGGCAGGAGGCCGGGGTGGGGGGCGGGGCAGGGCCAGTCTCTGCCGAGAGGCGCTTTATGGGAGACGTGGAGACACTCAAGGGTTAGGTCTAGGGGAGGGACTTGGTGCAGTATAAGGGGGGGTGTTGTAATGGAGATGGCAAAGGGTTCAGTGTAATAGATGCCTGCGGGGCAGAGCAAGGATGGGGAGGGGTCACCACCTCTAATTTGATTTTCTTTTTTTCCTCACGTTTAGCCGCTGGAGAGCTGATGATTCTCGCCTCCTACGAATTTCCATCATCAACTTTCTTGACCAGCTTTCCCTGGTGATGCGGACCATGCAGCGCTTTGGGCCCCCTCTTTCTCGCTAGGCCTGAGCTAGGAAAAGGGGGCTGAGGCCCAACCTTGTGTCCGGTCCTAGGCAGTGGATCCTTCCAACGACAGTGATTATTGCAAGTAGTTGCCACTTTATTGTGGAGCCCTAAATCTTTTGCCTGTACTGGCCCTTGGGCACTGGAGGTTCACTTCATTTGTTTGGTACTTAAGTGCTGATCACTGCAGAAAACAAAACTGAGCTACTATTCCATGTCTGACTTTCTTTTCGAGTACAGCACCTAATATTCTTGCTTTGGTCCCAGGGTTGGAGGAGAGGTCTGGGATTCAGATATTCAAGCAATACAAGGTAACTGAAAACAATTTAGGAAATGGAAGATGGGTCCTGTCGTTCAGTATTAACTACTGTCAACATTTCAGAATGTTTCCTTAGTTTTATAGCTGTATTTATATAGTAAATGTATAACAATAATACATAATGTATAATATTTTGCATTTTTATTGATATTTTTCATCTAACATGAGCTTTTCCACTAAAAATTCTTCAAAAGCATTATTGAATGGAGGCATAAAAATACAGTGTAATGTAATTACTGGCCATTTAAATTATTTTCAATTTTTGTCCTATTATAAGTAACGGATGAGTCAAAGGAATTCTTGTATATAAATCTTTGCATGATTGTTTCTGTAAGACAGATTCCAAGAGGTAGTCTTACTGCGTTAAATATTTATGATTTATTTTTTAAAGCTCTCAATCTACAGTGCAAAATTGCTCTCCAGAAAATGTACTCTCCCACCAGAATGCTGGTTTCCCACATCCTTGTCACTGCTTGGTCTCCTTGGCAAACATTGTTAAAAACTTAGTTTGCATGAGAAGAGCAAACAACCCAGAAATACTAGAATCAGAGTCTTGTGGGCTCATTGGCCGTGTCTCAGGTCAGTGAAGAGAAGTGCTGGGACAATTGGTTAGGCCTTTAGTTGGAAGGAATGAGCTCCCTGTAGAATACATTGCCGTGCTTGCTAAAGTCACTTATTCTAGCAGCTATTTTATAGGTGCGATCAGATTTTCTCCAAGATGATGTTTTCTCAGAATAAAGGCAATTTTAGTTCCTTTTCAACTTGGATGCCTTTTATTGGTTAGTATCTTTTCTCGTTATGGGGTTGGATTTCCCTGCTTCTCTGCATGCCTGGTAATTTTAGATTGGATGCCAGACATGATTTTCCCTTGAGGGCTAGATATTTTTATAGGCCTAGACACATGGTTTGAGCTTTGTTCTGGATGCTGGAAACAGTTGGATCCTTTAGCGTCTGGCTCTGAAGATTTGCTGCGTGGGCCCTTTCAGCGTAGCTTTTTTTTTTCCCCACACGCTGATGCAAGACCCTTCCTTCTGAGCGCCCTGCCCGATGCCTCCGAATTGTGAGGTTTACCATTCTGGCCGGTGGGGACAGCCACTAGTGCCTGTCCTGCTTGAGCGCTGGGCATCGTCCACTTTCATCCTTTCGGAGGGTCCTTCCCCCGGCCTCACGTAATTTCCTCACGCCTGTGTTGATCAGTGGTCTGTTGAATACTCCAGTGGGACCATCCACGGGTGTGGAGGGTCTTCTCCCCCTGCCACGCTCTTCTCTCTGGTCCTCTACCCTGCCAGCTCTAGGTGCTGAGAATTTCAGTTCCAGTTCCATCTCCTAAACTCGGGGTGTCCATTGGGCTCTGCCAGGAAACTCCTCTCCCTTCAGAGAGTCAGCTGGGGCAAATGCATGGCTGACCTCTTGTTTCTCATCTCCCAGAGATCACTGTCCTTCATTGACTGATACCCGGTTTCTTTACAGCCTATTTCATATACTTTTTTTTATTGTGAAATACACATTTTTTAAATTAGGTTCAGCTGTACAACACAGTGCAATAGTTATACTTTCTACCCCTCGAAGTGACAACCCCCCTCCTCCAATCCACTGCCCCACTTCCCCCCCCCCCAATATCATACATATGTGTATTACAATTCCATTCACTCCACTCCCCAGGCTACACTCCATGACTATATATAGATTCAGCTGTACAACACAGTGCAATAGTTATACTTTCTACCCCTCGAAGTGACAACCCCCCTCCCCCAATCCACTGCCCCACTTCCCCCCCCCCCAATATCATACATATCTATTACGGTTCCCTTGACTCCACTCCCACACTATACTCCACTATTTCATATACTTTGTGTGCTTGGGGATGTCTTTCAAGTAACTGGCAGGGTAAATCCGGTCACTGTTACTGCACATGCGTGAACAGAGCCTGCCATTGTAGAATGTGGAGACCTCTGACATTGTGAGCTGGAGGGAGAGATGGGGATGGTGGCAGTGGTCATGATGATGGCAATGAAGAATCTCGCCTGACAGTATGCAGCAGTTGTAGTGGCTATGAGGGTCTCTTTTAACCTTTTTTTTAAAGATTTTATTGGGGGGCTGGCCAAGTGGCACGTTGGTTAAGAGTTGGCTTGGGACGCCAGCTCTGAGCAGCAGGGCCCCGGTTCAGATCCCACATGTGAGCCAGTGACTCTGCACCCTCGACAGCTAAGATGGTGAACAACAGCTTGACCTGGAGCTGGGCTGCCGTGAGTCACCGGCGACGGCACAGGCTGCAGCTCCTGCTGCAGTGGGCTGCCATAAGCTACCATGAGTGGCTGGCAGCCGGCTGAGATGCCGTGAGCCGCCATGACTGCCTAACCAGGGAAGAGCACAAGGATAACACCAACATGGGCCAGTGAAGTGAAGCCCTCCACAACTAGACTGAAGAACAGAAGGACAGTAACTTGTCTGTTCCCCTCCCCCAACTTCCCAATACAATCTTAAATAAATAAATAAATAAATCAGACTTAAGACCTTAATTATTGATGACGGATAGAAGAGAATTTAGCTCTTTTATACCACGATCCACTCTGCTTCCACTCCACCTCCTTCCTAAATGGTGCTATTCACTTCTTAGGGTTTCTTTTTCCCCTGAGGTTAAAAACTGCCTAGTTTGTCATTGACTTAGTTCCTGTAATGTCAAAATGGTCGTTTTTAAAACCATCTTCCTTGGCATTCTCTGTCCTTTACCTGCCTGGTTCTTTCCAGGCTATCTGCCCACAGAGCTGTCACCCTGGAACTTCCCTTTGAGCATGAATCCTTATCCTGGATCATGCAGCTTTCTCTTTACTCTTTTTTTTTATTGGGGAATTGGGGGGATGGGAACAGGGCTGGGGAATTGGGGGGAGGGGAACAGACAAGTTGCTGTCATTTTGTTCTTCAGTCTAGTTGTGGAGGGCGTTGCTTCACTGGCACAAGTTGGCACCATCATTGTGCTCTTCCCGGGTGAGGCAGATCAGTCGCCGGCTTCTGGACGGCCACTCACTGCGGCTGCTGG